ATCATTATTTTATCATGATCTAATAGCTTTACCAGAGCAAAAACCACTTTTTAATGGCATACGGTAGGCGTAAAGTTGCTGAATATCGAAAAATAATTTTTCAAAAATTTCTGTCTAACTTAATATTCAACTAGAGCTCACCTGGATATAATGATGGCAAAGGAATTGCTGCAGTCATAGCTTTTTTTGGCATTGTTATTTCTACTAGTTTGAAAAAATGCGTACGAACTATTTATATGTATTCTACTGTTGGTCTTTTCAGTGTTTTAAGTGGAGTACCAAAAGCGAAGGATACTGGTAACCTTTTTTTATTAGTCAGTGTAAATGAAAAAGAACCACTCGATACGATTGATATACACGTTCATGATGAGGTAAAAAATCCGTGTAAGGATGCAACAACATATTGGCTGGAACTGTATTTCAACAGTTCCTTTGATCGTCTTACTACAGAACAATTGGAGATTATGGTTGAACAGGCAGTGAAAATATTAAAAGCTGATAGGTAAAAGTTTTGTTAACAATATTGTTAACAGTTTTGTGTTAATCCATTTCTTTTTTCTTGGTTTTGCGAACGGACTATTGATACGGCGTCTAATTTTTTTAACATTATTTTTTTACGATTTTTTTTTAGACAGGGGGAAAAATGTAGTGAACTGTACATAGCAGAAGAATACTTTGCATTTTATGCTTATATTTTTATGACCGCAATATTCGAAAATCGGTTAAGTAAACAACGATATGGTAGCTAAGAATAAGTGACGCTAATAATAACAGCGTCAGGCATTGTAATAATTATGAGATGAAGGAAAAAGACCAATTGCAATAATGCTTTTTTTTTTTATTATTTCTGGTATTTTTAGGAATGATATTCGCATTTATCCCGATGATTACTTAGTTAAAGTTCGTGAAAGAAAATCCTATTTTGATGCAGTTCCAATTGTACAAAATACTACAGTACTCACCTATAAGTTCAGTTGTGGAGATTCTGGCGACATAGACTTTGAAATTGCCGAACTGTTAGAAGACAGTTTCGTGTTTGAAAGTCTCACAAAAACTGGACTGCCACAGTGCTATGGGCGTCAGGTTAGTACTTTTTCAATTTAAACATTCTTTCCTAAGTAAACTGTAATTAGTTCACCGTGCCTACCTATGCGGGCCTACAATTTAATTTGTTGTCTTACAATGTTGTTAGGGGACAATATCACGATTTCGTGATTTCGGTATCTAGTCAACTTTTGTAGGTTACAACTGGTAAAGTGTTGCAACGTAAACAGCGGCATGGAAGTCGCGATTCTGGTCGAGTTCAGTCCTCTTTTGATTTTGTTACTTCAATGCCGGAAATAAAGGAAACTACAGCAGAATCTGAAACAGAGCGCTCTTCTCGAGTATCAGCAAAGGAAGACAAAAAGCCGACACTGATGAACACGTTAGGCAAATTTAAATGTCAACGGTATGTTGTAGAGAAGATTTTTGTGCTTAGCTTATTGAACATCAAAACAGAAATGTGTGCAAAATTGAAGACGAACAATTTGTAATGAAGATTCTTTTCTTGTTTTATGTTTATTTTTGTCTTTGTTTTCTTCCTATTTTTGGTAGAGAAACTAAATAAATATGGGTGCTGAATTGTGGGAGAGGAGGGGAAGAAATATTAAGTAGAAGGAATTGAGTTTGGGGGGTTTTGATATTGTTGCGGTTCAATTAAAGTCTATTGATCACAGAAGTTCTGTAGATTTTTATAGGTTTTTTGTTGGTGGAAAGGAGGAGGAGAAAAGTGAGGGATATGAACTTCAATTGAGAGAATTTTATCAAGTGTAAAGAGCTAATCACCGAAGCCGAAGATGGAGAGGCAAATGATTATGAATGTGGTGGAGGACAGGGGTGGTGGCAAAAAGCAAATGTCAGCAACTTACGTATTTGAGAAGTACAATGAAGATTCTTTTATAAGCTAGTTCAAAATCTTTTCTCTGCTTCTGATATCATTATTGGGGTTTTACGTTGAACGAAGCAAAAACGTGTAATTGATTATGTCAAAGAAAGAGCAGAACAAAGTGAAACTGTTGAATGATAAAATTGGTTTTTTTTTGGTCAAGCTACCAACTTTTAAACCAAGCTTTTTGTCTTTATTTTTTCAATTACACTTCATCGCCTTCTACACTTTCCAACTCAAGCAAAAAAGGAGAGGGTGAAAGATAGTAACTGCAGTGATCGTTTTTTTGTAAAAAGCTTTTTTTTTTGGATTAAGCTTTTCCAAATTATTCATTTATCTGTTTGCCTATTTATTTATTTTCTTCTTTATAATTTGTACGAGGAGCAATTGATCATTGATAGTTACAGTAATTCTAATTCTAAATGAATGATAGGCCAAACAGCTTCTTTAAATTTTTCATGGGTCAATATTTTTTTTATTTTCTTATTTTTGAAACTGCTGTTGGTTTTATACAAGGTAGGCATTTTTGAGTATGAAAGGTTTAAGGTCATCTAATCACTTTTTGGCTATCTTGCTGAAGTGAAATACCTGAAATTTTTATTTGGTTGTTTTATCAGCGAAAATGCGGAGTATCTAAACCTTGCCACTGTAATTGCTGGGGAAAAAATTTGTTTGAATTGACAGTGTCTGCTGCTTGTTATTAATTTGAGGGCAATAGTACCAGTTACTGCACCGTTGTTTGATTACTCCATTGATTATACTGTTCACTGTTTATAATTATAGAAAACTTTTTTGCAAAAAATTTATTAGAAGTTCTCAGTTTTTCGTTCAGCAGAAAAAGAGTCATTTTTTGCTTAAATTATAACAATCGTAGACAGGATTGAGTATATAGTCGAATAATTACTTGCTTTATTGCTTTTAGTGCTACAGCTTTTGCATAGTAGAAAAGTTTGGAAGGAGATAGGCAAAAAGCTGGATTAATGATAGCTAAAAAATTTGTTGAGCACTTCTTTTACACTTTTATTGGGCAGTCTCAAATGGTTCGTTGTCATCACCTTTATTATATTGCAGTTAGGTTTTTTCAGTTCTCTTAGTTCTTTGATAAATACCATAACTCAAAAGCTTATTAGGAGGAGAGCTAATACCGGCATTTTGCTTGTCTATCAATTAAATGCTGGTTTTGTTCTGATTCAAAAAATGTAGTTAATCAGCAGCTTACTTATTACTTGCAGTTTATCTCTAAAATTTCATGTTCTTTTTGTTGATTCTTGTCAACTAACGGTTAAAAAAATTGCTGGAGCTTTTAGGAAGAATAGGAACGGGAGAGCAGTATAAATATGAAGACTGAGTTTTGGGAGGAAAAGGTCAGGAAATTTAATTTTTGTTTTTACATCTTGCTGCTACCTTTTGTTTTTTCATTTCTATGTTGAGTGATGCTTTCTGGGATTGTCGTTTGGGACAAAAATTGAGAGATTTGAAACGGTAATAGTACTATCATCACAGAAATTAAAAAAAGGTTGAAAAAGATGAGGAAAGAGATTTCTATTTTTCCTCATCTTTATCGCTTTCTCCTAAATTGTTAAATTTTTTATTTCAAGATGCTGGCGCAGTTTTTCTTTTTCATTGAATTATAATGAGGATAAATTTCTAAAGGGAGCAAGCATTAAATTGTTATTTGATGTATGAAGGCTGTTATGGTGTCGTTGCTGGAGAATGCGGGTAGCAGAAATTTAGATATAATTTATTTCTTTTTTTTCGTGGGCTTTACGAATACATGCAGATGGATAGTTGGTTACTGAATGGGTAGGAATAGATAAA